AAAAAGCTTCTGCACAGCAAAGGAAACCATCAACAAAATGAAAAGGCAACCTACTGAATGACAGAATATATCTGCAAATGACATACCCAATAAGGGGCTAATAGGCAATATATACAAAGAACTCCTATAACTCAACACCAAAAAAACAATCTGATTAAAAAATGGGCAGACAGAATCAGTTTTCCAATGAAAGCATAGAGATGGCCAATAAACACATGAAAAGATGGTCAACATCACTAATCATCAGGGAAATCAAGACTTCAGTGAGGTGTCACCTCACACCATTCAGAATGGCTGGTATCAACAAGACAAGAAGTGGCAAGTGTCGGCGAGCATGTGCAAGAAAAGAGGATGCTCATTCACTGCTGGGGGAATTGCCAATCAGTGCGGCCACTATGGAAAGCAGTATGGAGGGTTTTCAAACTAAAAACGGATGTATTGTGTGACTCGGTAGTTCTACCTCTGGGTATTTACCAGAACAGAACAAAAACACTAATTCAAAAAGATAAATGCACTTGTACATTCACTGCAGTATTATTATTTACAATAGCCAAGGTATGGGAGCCACCTAAGTGCCCATCTATAGATGAATGGATAAAGAAGATGTGCAGTATATACTACACAATGGAATATTACTCAGCCATAAAAAATAATTAAATATGAGCATTCACGACAACACGGGTGGCCTTTATTATGTTGGGGTACTTGCCCTCTGTACTCATTTTGTTGAGTTTTTATCATGAATGAATGTCGAATTATTTGAATGCTTTTTCAGCATCTATGGAGATGATCATGTGGTTTTTGTCCTTTTTGTTGATGTGGTGGGTGATGTTGATCAATTTTTGAATGTTGTACCAACCTTGCATCCCTGGAATAAATCCTACTTGATCATGATGGTTGATCTTTTTGATGTATTTTTGAATTAGGTTTGCTAATATTTTGTTGAGTATTTTTGCATCTATATTCATCAGGGATATTGGTCTGTAATTTTCTTTTATTGTTGTGTCTTTGCCTGGTTTTGGTATTAGAGTGATGCTAGCCTCATAGAATGAATTTGGAAGTATTCCCTCCTCTTTTATTTTTTGGAAAACTTTAAGGAGAATGGGTATTAGGTCTTCACTAAATGTTTGATAAAATTCAGTGGTGAAGCCATTTGGTTCAGGGGTGTTGTTCTTAGGTAGGTTTTTGATTTCCAGTTCAATTTTGTTGCTGGTAATTGGTCTGTTCAGATTCTCTGTTTCTTCCTTGGTCAGCCTTGGAAGGTTGTATTTTTCTAGAAAGTTGCACATTTCTTCTAGGTTATCCAGTTTGTTAGCATATAATTTTTCATAGTATTCTCTAATAATTCTTTGTATTTCTGTGGTGTCTGTAGTGATTTTTCCTTTCTCATTTCTGATTCTCTTTATGTGTGTAAACTCTTTTTTTCTTGAAAAGTCTGGCTAGGGGTTTATCTATTTTGTTTATTTTCTCAAAGAACCAGCTCTTGCTTTCATTGATTCTTTCTATTGTTTTATTCTTGTAGATTTTCTTTCTTTCTGCTCTAATCTTTATTATGTCCCTCCTTCTACTGACTTTGAGCCTCATTTGTTGTTCTTTTTCCAGTTTCATTAATTGTGAGTTTAGACTGCTTATATGGGATTGTTCTTCTTTCTTGAGGTAGGCCTGTATTGCAATATACTTTCCTCTTAGCACAACCTTGGCTGCATCCCACAGATTTTGCGGTGTTGAATTATTGTTGTCATTTGTCTCCATATATTGCTTGATCTCTGTTTTTATTTGGTCATTGATCCATTGGTTATTTAGGGGCATGTTGTAAAGCCTCCATATGTTTGTGGGTTTTTCATTTTTTTTGCGTAATTTATTTCTAGTTTCATACCTTTGTGGTCTGAGAAGCTGGTTGGTACAATTTCAATCTTTTTGAATTTACTGAGGCTCTTTTTGTGGCCTAGTATGTGATCTATTGTTGAAAATGTTCCATGTGCACTTGAGAAGAATGTTTATTCTGTTGCTTTTGGGTGTAGAGTTGTGTAGATGTCTGTTAGGTCCATCTGTTCAGTGCCTCTGCCTCCTTACTTATCTTCTGTCTGGTTGATCTGTCCTTCAGAGTGAGTGAAGTGTTGAAGTCTACTAGAATGAATGCATTGCATTCTATTTCCCCTTTTAATTCTGTTAGTATTTGTTTCACATATGTAGGTGCTCCTGTGTTGGGAGAATAGATATTTATAATGGTTATATCCTCTTGCTGGATTGACCCCTTTATCACTATGTAATGTCCTTCTTAGTCTCTTGTGACTTTCTGTGTTTTGAAGTCTATTTTGTCTGATACAAGTACTGCAACTCCTGCTTTTTTCTCTCTGTTAATTGCATGAAATATCTTTTTCCATCCCTTCACTTTTAGTCTATGTATGTCTTTGGATTTGAAGTGAGTCTCTTGTAGGCAGCATATAGATGGGTCTTGTTTTTTTATCCATTCAGTGACTCTATGTCTTTTGATTGGTGCATTCAGTCCATTTACATTTAGGGTGATTATCGATACATATATACTTACTGCCATTGCAGGCTTTAGATTCATGTTTACCAAAGGTTCAGGCATGCTTACCTTTCTATCCTCAGTTTTAACACCAGAGTAAGGCAAAGCACAAGATAAAGAGAGGGCAGAGGCATGTGACAGAAAGAACCTACTCACCCACCCCTAAAGTTTTCAATTCCAGATTAAGGTCCAGTCTGTCAAGGGAGAAAGTAAGAAGAGTACTAGATCAAGCATGTGACTGAAGTTTTAATAGGAAGAGAAATAAGTCTTAAATACCAGAATGAGACTACAGCATTTGTAAATTATGGAATAGTGACAAGATGCTATTAAAGTAGTTGATATCTAGTAGGAAAGGGGGGTTTGACACGTAGAGCTGGGTGCTAAGTTACTAGATAAAAAGCAAAACTGATTTTTACTTATATCCCCAGTAAATAGATATCCTCAATGAAGTGGTTATAGATGGACGGTCTCTAAAACTTGTTTCCTTATATACTGGTGTTCCTAGCTTTACAATTCTCCATTCATTTTTTGCACAATCAATGCAATCCTGCTATGAACTAATTTACATTATGATATTTAAGTCTAGAACCAGTCCATCAATTTTCTCACTACTATTTGCTGCTCTGTCTAAGAAATGTTAAGTAGGTAAGAGCCATGCTTCTATGTCTGGGAAGACACCATCTAAGTCTCAAATATGAGTGGGCAAATAAGCATTACTAATGGTGAAGGATGCTGTAGCTGTAACAAGTATTTCAAGTATTAAAGTAGAGAAGATTGATGAGAACAAAATTCATAGGACATAAATTAACTTGATACCTCAATACTTTCAATGTTCACCCTTCAATGATCCAACCAAAGAAGAAATCCACAAAGAGGCTTATCTGACAAAGAGGATAAATCAGTATATTGCAAATAGACACTGTTCAACTCCATAAAAGAGAGGAAGAAAAATGAAGATTCTAAAGAAAGAGAGTAAGAGACAATCAAGAGAAGGCTGGTCAGGAAGTAGGACCTGAACTGGGGCTGCACACGGAGGGTGGACAGGCATGGATGATAGACAGAGAAGAACAACTCCTGGATGAATGAGAGACAATGATGTAAAGTGGCTGTGACACATTTCAATATCAATACATACCGAGACTGAACTGCGGGTAATGCTCATAAATCTAACTGCAATTAGTACAGGTTTCTGGATTAGGAAGGACATGAAAAGGAAAGCAGAAAGTTAGAACGTACATGTCATTGCCCCATTAAAAGAGGTTTAATTTTTCAATGGACGGAATATATCCATGTTCTGCAGTATCAGCAAAACATCACAGCTTGTCTACCTACTTTGAAAAGCAACTTTACAGTAAAAGGTCCCCTTCTTCCTCCCTGGATGGGCACTGGAAAATTAGACCTCTAAGTACTGAGCTCCTGAACATTCATACTACAGAAAGGGCTTCACTTTTAAATGGGGATTTTGTTTTCATTTTCTGGGGAAAAGATTTAAGTAGTGTGATGGACTTTATTTAATACATTCAAACTGCTCAGAAAAGGTCTGTGTTTATATTTGTAAAAGAGACCCTTCACTAAATTAATCAAATGACATTTGTTGAGTGCTCATTCTGTGCCAGTTTAATTAGTAAAGAAAGAAATAGTTACTTTAATGCTAATTTATGTACCTACTATGAGGATATAGAGAAAATTTGGCTAGGTCCCTGAAAAGGCAGGGGCACGATGATGTGGAAGCCTGCTTCTCGTTACAGATTTACAGGGGATCTGAGTGGGTGTTCATTATTACAATTTTGTTTTAAAACTGAAGCAGAGGGTAGCAAATGATTAAATTTTTCATTTAAATGTTTTTAAATTTAACAGTAGTAGTTTTCCAGTTACATAGACCTTTTTGATTATTGGTCAGTGAAAACTGGAGTTATCTATACATATGTCACTAGTTAAAAGGAAGATACTAAACAGAAAAGTGGGCAAATGCAGGAAATAAACTATCATTTTTGCAAGGCTCTTTTTAAAACCTAATAACCAAACCTTGAAGAAAGCTTTATTTGATAACAGTAAACGCACAAATGGAATTCCATTCCTTTATAAATCACAAATGATTAAGGTCTCTACCTCTCAAGGAATACTGGCAGGACCACCAAAAATGATATGGTTGAGGGTGAGAACAGATAGCGCAAGGAAGTAGAGAAAAAAGTTAGGACAGGTTAGGTTTTTATAAAAAGACAGAAAAGAAAACATAGCAGATCATTAAACCACCACCATTTTACCCAAACACTTGATTTTAAAAATTCTGTATATGTAACTAAAGAGAGTTAAAAGACCAAACATGAGGCTCCCATAGTAGCCTGAGATAAGGTGATTTTTCCCCCCACTTGTTCCATGTGAGAATAACCTTTCTCTACATCATAAATACACATTTAAAAACCCAGGAAGGCTCCCATTTGCCCCTGTGATTCCATGTTTTGCATCTTACCATTGATCTTCGAATCAGTGACAGCCTGGTTTTTGCCTTATTCTCAGCAAATTCCAGGCTACTGATGTCTTTGAGACGAGCCTTATATTTGTTCATTTGTTCAACAACAATCAGCTCCACACAGCTAGAACAGGGGGAAAGAGAGAAAACTGTTAAGAGCCGAAGTAAATAAAATACAGCATGTATAGACTGTTTTTTGCTAAGTGCTGTAGACGGTAGAAGGAAAATGAAAGAAAAATCAACATCCCATGTTTGATGGGCGCAGAGACAGGATTCGGAATGGCGGCTCATGACTGGCTGCTCTGCACTTCAGCGTCTGTCTGAGGAGCCACCCGAGGTCCCAGTGCCCAGGCCATACCCCAGACCAACTGAATCAGACATTCTGAGGATGGGACACAAACACAGGGATTTTTTTAAAGCTTTTTTTTGCAATCAAGGTTAAGAAACAGGGTTAAGAAGGAAAGCAGAGGCCCATGAAAAAAGGCCAAGATGAAATACAAGAACATTGAAATACTAAGACAAAAGGGATTCAGAGCCATAAGACCACAGTTAGACTAGATTACAGGAAGATACAAAGTGTATGTAATTTGGTAAAATGGGATTTTAAAACATATTTAGAAACCATATTCCTTAAAAAGAACAGATTTTAAAAATAAGACTCTTCAAAACAAATGACACTCAGCTGAATAGAATCTAAAGAAATCTTTCATCTTCAACATAAGAAAACCCAATGGCATTTAGCAATCTTCTTAAAAAATCTGAATTTATGAAATCATTCACTATGTTTGGTACCTAGATAAAGTGACCACACTGACTCGGAAGTCCCTGTAGTCTTCCTGTGGTGATGTGACAGTGACTAGACTTACGTGGTAGTCTTACTGATGTCCTGCACGCTTTGTAGGGGGTCAATAGAGTCAGGACAACGGAGAATACATGGTGCAAACACAATGGCCAAAGCATTGGCAGACATTCGATTAGTGTCTTCCTGTAGAGCAATCCTAAAAAACAAACAAACAAACAAAAAAGTGAAACAGGGATTAAAAAGAGAAAATAGTAGGGAGATAAGAGATGAAAGAAAGAAGGCCTATGACAGCAACCACATAACAATGGAAAGATGTATCAGCAGCTGAAGGGCGATACTAGAGACTTTTCCCCATGCTGCTCCTTTGCCTCTGGAAAATGCCTCTGTCCCTTCCTTGAGGTAATGCAGGCCAGCAGAGAGCTTATCAAAGGAAATTTCTGACCCAGCACCCGAGGTCACCATCCCTAGAAGAAAGAGTCCGAACAATGCAGAGCACAGACTTTAAGGTATTTTCAGACAGTCATTATTAGATACTTATCCAGAAACAAAGACAGCTTTCTTCCCAACTACTGCTGATATGTACAGTCAGGGGAGGATAGTTTCAAGTCTCTTTCATCAGTCAGTCCCTGAGCACCATCTGAACTATCTCCTACGAATTAGGTGATGTCAACAGATACACATCCTTTCTAGGTCAGGCAGGAGTCAGGTAACAAGCTGGGCTACGCAGTGCCACCATCAGGCTGAAGTCACATGGTCAGTAGGGCAGAGAAATACCTGCCAGGCAGCTGAGGCTTTCTGCTCCAAAGAATTGTAACCACCTGTTTGAGGCACTAACTTCATAAATAGGTTAAAAAAAGATCTGTCAGTTTACCACATAGAATAGCTCCTTATTTCTTTAAAAGAATCAAAGAGAAACTGTTAAATATGCCCTTGCTTCTGGAAGTTACCTGACTAGATGAAAGATAAGGCGTTCCAATGTATTGAGGTGAGTTCTGGAGAGCTGGTCAATCACAGAGTATACACCACGGATTGTTTCTTTCCTCTCCTGAAGGCCTAAAAACAGTAAGAGGAGCAAATAAGACTGAATATCCCCTCTTACGAACATCCTTCTGGACAGACACTAGGTAGCAGGGGAGGTTGGCTCTAGAGTTTTAGAATTTTAGGAGAGACGGTCATACCTGTATGATGGGAAAACTGCAACTCACCATTACCACAAATCTCCCTTTGCTTGAGTTCTATATTCATTAAGTACTCTCCTTAGTTTTAATATGTATATATCAGTAATCCTTGATTATAGCTCGGTGAAAGAGATGCCCTATTTTTCAAGGCATTTTGTGGTAGATTGATTCACCATTAAAATGAATCAACTGCCAAATTATCCAAAAATCACTCTTAGGTGAATTTGAGGAATGATGCCTCAAGGTCTAAACACTCCTAGGCAGGCCTTCTTTCACCAATATCCTATATATCCTATATATGTGTAGCTCTGAAAAACTAAACTTCATAACCTATTAGGCCCACCATAAAATAGCCAGCCAGCTTTACAGAGTTCTTGCTTAGATTCACAATTGAAATGAACATAAGCTAGCCCTGAAATCTCCTATTTAATCTTTTAACTTGTTTATACTCACAGCCTCTCAATTTCTTTGTGAGAATTGTGACTCACCCAGAAAATTTTAAGGACACTGACATTTTAACGAATCTATAAAAGTATCTGAATAGGTGAAAGCACACTGGCAGTTTTGTATTGTCTGAAGTTTGCTTTGGATCTATACAGACTGAACCAACAGAGGGTGGTTCAACAGTCTATAATGAAGATGACATTCCTTTCTCAAGTATAGAACTTCTCCTGAACTTTGAGGAAAGCCTGTGCTTACCCATTGCTCGGAGAAATTCCTCATAGAGTTCAAAGGTCATAAGTGGATTGGGCAAATCACGAAGCCATTGCTTGAACACACTTGCAATGACATGTATGTTATAGTCGTCTAGGTTTACACTCTCAGTATCTGTTTAGAGACAAGAGTTAGATAACAAAGCCAAAACATGCAAAGAGTTTCAAATAATTCACTTTAGAAACTATCATAACCAAAAGAAGCCTTCATGTTCTAAATCAAACCGATTATATCTTCAACAACCTAATTCCATGCTTTGGAACAGCACTTCTAACTGAAGTAAAGGAAGTTTTTGTTTGTTTTACAAATCCGTTGTGGACTGATGGATGTAAAAGATCACGTTTTCATGTAAAAGCACTTTAAACTGCTATAAATGTTTCTAAATGCTTGCTCTCAATTTCTGTATTTGTGGATTGGTCTGTGTAACACACTTTGAGTAACAAACCTTTACAGGACAAATGGAAAAAGGACGCAGAGAACATTTTCAAAAATTAAGACTGATTTTAAGTCATTCTTAAAGATGAAAGGGCTGTAATAATTGAGCTTAGGAACTGTAAAGGAAACAACTTATATGTTCCACTTATAAACTCTCTAAGGTTATACAGAAGAGATGACTGGAAGGATACAGGATGATTTTTCACTTGTGCTGGCCTAAGATATAAGAGAAAAGTTGGCAACTGCCTTCAAACTGGAGATTTTTGACCTTGGTAGGCAGAACCTCCTGCTTGAGTTTTACCAGGCATTTTAGTTATTTCCACACTGATTCATTTCTCCCTTATTTACTCATTAAAAAAAAACCAAAAACCTAGAAAGAAAAAGCATGTGGATAGGTTTTTGGTAACATAGAGACAAACTCTGTACCTAATATGATTCCAAAAAATGTACTCCTCCCCAGTAGCGGTAAAGAGTAGAAGTTGAGAATGAAGCCAAAGTCAAACCCCAGGATACATTCCAGGACTGAAAACAGAGCTCTACAGATACACATTTAAACCTGGTAACTATCAGTTTAAATAACTATGTCATTAATGTAGGAAGGCAAGAAGATGCCTCTGAAAGAACAGCACTCTGAGTCAGAATAATAGAGACTAATAGGCAATAGTTTAGATTATAGATTGATTCAGAACATCTGATGTTAAATCCCAGCATGGTCACTTATTGACTTACTGGTGGTGAATCTTTGGACAAAATCCTCTGTAAACCTCCATTTCTTTATCTGTGCATAAGAGTATCACCTTAATTCATAAGACTGTTATGAAGATTAGCATAAAAACAGCACAGTGCCCTGCTCCATCAACAGCTTAATTTACCTGAACTTCAATTTTCTTTGTAAATTAGGTATCATGATTTTACCAAATTGTTAAAAAGATTAAATAAGATGTCTGAAGTACCTAACAATGCCTTGTATTAATGACACACTCAATATATGTTTGCTGAATTGACCACATAAAAACAAAGACTTAGAAAGCCACAAAATGATAAACAAGCAAAACAGAAAAGATTACATTTTTTTGGCTCAAGAAAAGGATCAACATATAATGAAACTTTTAAGAGCATAAAATGGCCTACTTAAAAGTATTTGGTCTTGGTTTGGAGGACACTATCTTACCTGTATCTAGACCTTGCCGAAGCTCCTTAATTTTATTGGTTGAACCAGACTTGCGGTAAATACCTTCTGTGTACAGTCCATGCATTTCAATGTAGTTTATGAGCTTCTCTACCACTAAAGGAACAGTTCGGTCTTCACTGGTCAAACGGGACAGTTCAACCCCAAATTGTCGAGATGATAGCTCTGGATCATACTAAATGGAAGATAATTGTTTTGTTTCCAAATACATTTAAACATTTTTAAACGTTTTTAACCAATTCTTTAAGGGGAGCTATTCTTTATTTCCCTATAGTTTTAAGCATAGTTATGACAGTTGGGGAGAAGAAAATTATGGTTAATGTTGAGAGTGTGAGTTTCAGTTCTCTTCCACCACGAATCCCCCCAAAAAATAATGGGGTGGAGAATGGAGGCAGTGGCAACAGACTACTGTTTCCCTTCCTGTTAAAAATCTCTTCGTGTTGGGGTAAAATTACAGTATTTCAGAATCTCTCCCCTGGCCACAGTCCAACTACATGTCAATAGGTGTTTCTTCTCGCAGCCTGGGGGAAAAGGGGTGGAGAGGCTCTTCGCTCCTCCCCTTTGCTGTAATTGGCCTGGCGCTTGTCAGTCACCGGGGATCCGCCCGGAGTTTTCCTGGAAGGGGCCCGTGGAGAGGCGAGGGCCCATCCAGACTGGGGAGCGCGCGCGCGGATGGAGGGGAGGAACACGAGCGAATAAACAAGAGTTCTCCCACCCAGTCTAGTTTCGGTCCCATCGGTTTATCACACTTCCCTCAGAGCCACAATGTAAAGATGAGATTTGAACAAGGGAGAAGGGGGACAGACTTTGTATGTTAAACATTTATCAGGTACCATTAGAAAATATTTGATATGAATTGGAATTGCCAATAATTTCTGAAGCATAAAAATGCTTTGATGCTTATGTAAACTTTAGTGAAGATGAACTGAACACTGGTGGCATAGTTAAAGGCAGAGGCATGTACAGACTGGCCCATGATTAGTGCACTAGCTCTTATTTACTTCAGCAGTGTATCTGACATCTTACCTTCCTAACTACAGTTCATGTGACTGCAAAAACAGCTTCTTCTTAAGATTATTTGAAGCAATTCACAGAAACGAGTGCCAGGTGTTAACTCTGAGGCTGAAACCTTTTTTGTCAGTCTTCCCTGCTGTCCTTTCCTTCCCTTACACCATTCTCTTTCCCTAGCCCGACACTGTATTCCCCTCTCCTTCAGTCTGCGTGGGATCAGTGACAAGTTCTTTTGGTCAATTAGTACACACTATTTTTTTCTTTCCTCTTCTCAGTGCCATCATCCAAGTTCAAACCCACATCACTGCCCACCTGGATGCATCCAACAGCTTCTAGATGAATTTCCTCACATCCATTTTCTCCCCTTTTAATATATTGTACAGTATATAAAATCTATTTTATTATCCTCAAGAATCTTCTGGGGCTAGTCAGTAAATATCAAAATAAGGTGCAAACATTCCTGATTCTAACATTTAAGGTTCTACTTGAATTTATTCTAATGTCTTTTTCCAATCTTAATACACTTGCCATTTATGTGCTAGGAAACAAAATCAAGTAAGAGTGTCCTTAATAAATCTGTTGTTACTGTTTTATTTACCTCCGTCTGGAGGTAAATAAAACAGATTTATTAGGAGTAATGGAACCACAGAAGTGAAACAGCAAGATCAGGAAGAATTGGGCTGAGCAACAAGTAATGACCTTGAGAGGGCCTGATGCCTGACCTAACTGTTGGAAAGCAAATAGTACATAAATAAAGAAGGCAAGAAAAGAACTTCTTAGGCACAGAAAACACAGAACTACAAAGTTGGGCAAAACAAATTAAAAGTAATCTGCTATGACTGAAAAAAATGAGAAAAAGATCATAAAGGGTTTTGGGTACTAAGTTACAAAATTTGGATCCTGTCCTGAAAGCTAAAGGAAGTTACCAGAGAATTTTAATTAGGGGATGATATATAAGTTTTATATTTTATGCATTATTTATCTCTATATACTCTGCATTCCAGCACTTAATTCTTAAAAGAATTAGTGGTATGTCTACTTTGGAGCATGTTAAATTATCTTTAATGTAAGGCAACACCTCTTAAAAGTACATCTAGGTCTGAGGTGAAATAGAAAGACACTTTTTGGAATATTTAGAGGATGTAAGTTAAAATTTTGAATTGTTGCTCTAAGAAGTAAGTTGAGGTTATTTCACATTTGCAACAAAAATATCACCATTTAATTACAGTGGGTTATTGTAAAGATTAAGTTACAGACCAATATATATAGCACAGTATCTGGTATATGGCAAATGCTCAATAAATTGTTAAGGAAATAAAATACTGCAATTATTAAAACAAAATAAACTTTCTGACTGGTGTAAGGTAATATCTCATTGTGGTTTTGATTTGTAATTCCCTGATGATTAGTGATGTGGAGCACCTTTTCATGTGTCTGTTGGCCATCTGTATAATATATCAACTATACTTCAATAATACAAACTAACAAACATAAACAATATAAACTTCAGCCAAACTTGTTATTACTGTGACACACACATGCATCCATATAATTTATTTAAAGTTACAACTATCTCTAGGGCATTAAGAATGTTAACACTTAAAACTTGTGAAAGCAGAGAAATAAAATTACTTGAGGGCATTAAATAAAATCCTTAAAGTAGTTTGATTTGAAACCAACTAATCTAAGCTAAGCATGCTAAAAACTTGTTTTCTGAAATTAATGGAAAAATTAATCTTACTATTTTGAACTGAAAAAAATTTAACATTAAGTTTCCTGTTCAGCTGACCTTTGAACAAAACAGGTTTGAACTAAGTCCACTTATATGTGACATTTTTTCAATATATTGGATTTTTTTTTTTTTGGAGATTTGTGACAATTTGAAAAAAACATTTTCTTTTCCCTAGCTTACATTACTGTAAGAATATAGTATATAATACCTACACTGCTTAACTGACTGTTTATGTTATCAGTAAAGCTACCCATCAATAGCAGGCTGTTTATTAGTAGTTAAGTTTTGGGAGAGTCAAAGTTATACATGGTTTTCCCTCCAAATTAACTTGTGAATTTTAAATAAAATCTTATAGAAGTATGTCATACATATAGAAAAGTGTACAAATCATAAGCGTACAGCTGGATAGACTTTGACAAAGTAAGTGCATACTTGTTACCAGGACTCAAATCAAGAAATGGAATATAACCAGCAGTATAAAATTTGCTTCAGACCCTCCCAGCCACTCTGTGTCTCACCATTCACAAATAACCAGTACTATACTTCTAGCACTATAAATTAGTTTTACCTGACCTTGAACATTATATTAATGATATTATCTTATGTATACCATGAGTTAATTTCACCTTTTTTTTAACTTTATTTAAATGGAATAATACAGTATGCACTGTCTTGTTTCTGGCTTCTTTCATTCAACATTATGTCTGTGAGTACCAACAGTTTAATCTCACTGCTATACAGTATTCCAGTATACAAATACACCATAATTTATTTATTCAGATTCTACTTTAATAGGTATGACTCATCTTGATAATGACAATTCCTGTTTTTTTTAATTCTTTTTACTGATCACTTTTGCTAAGTTTATCCATTATTTTGTGTTTTCAAAGAGCTAAAATTTGGCTTTGTACATTTTTATCTCTTGCACAAATGTTTTTTATTTCATTTATTTCTCTTTATTATCTGCCTTCTATCTCTGGGTTTAATTTGCTGAGATTATTTTTTTCTACTTCTGGAGATGCAAGTTTAGATAATTTCTGTCTTTGTATCCTTTCTAATTGCATTCATTTAAAATAGCTAAAACATTCCTCTAATTATAACTTTACTGGTATCCACACTTTTGCTATATCATCCTTTGTCATTTAGTACAAAATATTTTTCCATTTCATTGTAATTTACAGTATACCACTTAATTTCCAAACATTTTTAAATTGCGTATTTATCTGTTTTGTGTTGCTTTATAACTTAACTCCATTCCGATCAAAGAATATACTGTTAATATTTTCAATACTTTGAAATTTCTATGGACTTGATTTATGACCCAAACTATGATCAGTTATGTCAAATGTTCCACATTTCCTTGGAAAGACTGTGTGTCCAAGCACTTACAGGATGCAAGGTTCAATACATGTCAACTAGGTCAAGTTTTTTAGTTCTGTTTTTTATATCACTTGCATCTTCACTTAATTTTTATTTACTAAGTATTGAAGCTAAAATATTAGACTTTTCTAAAGTGAGAATTTTTATCTCTGATGGGTTGACCATTTTATCATTAGGAAACACTTTTTCTGAAGTAATGCTTCTTGTCCTAAAGTACATTTTAATATTAGTACAGCTATACCACCTTTCTACTGTTTAGTCTTTTGCATGCTAAATCTATATATCCTTTTATTTTCAACCTTTGTGTAATTTATATCCATTTGTCTCTTGTAAACAGCAGCATGTCACTGAGATTTTTCGGATGCTTTTGAACTAGTCTTTTAATTGGAAGTATTTGGATATTTTAAATGGAAATTGTTTAACAGGAAATCTTTGGGTATACTAACATTCCATGTAATTACCAATATATCTGGACTTATATTTAGCAATTCACTATTTTCTTTGACGTGATTTATGTTTTCATTTCTCTCATTTTTTTGTCTTTTAATCAACTATTTTTCGTTTTTCCATTTTCCCATCTCTATTATCTTAATTTAAGCTATATATTTGGTATTCTTTTAGTGGTGATTTTAAGGACTACAACAAATATACATAACATTTTTAAGTCTCATATATTAAAACCTTTACCACTCCCAATAACCCAAGAACCTTGGCAAAGTTTAACTCTATTCACCCAAACAACATTTGTGTTGCTGTCATGCATTTTAATTCTACATACACTTTAACCCACAAGACATTTATTGTTATTAGTTAATATTCATTTATATTTACACATATTATTTACTCTTTCTGCTGTTCTTCATTCCTTTCTATGTCTCTGTTTCCATCTGAGATCATTTTCCTTATGCCTAGAGAATTTCCATTAGTAATTATCTTAGTGCACACCTGCTGGTGACAAATTCTGAGTCTTTGTTTGGAAATGTCTTCAGATCATTTTCACTGTGAAGGCTACTGTCAGTGGCTACAAAATTCTATGTTGGCATTATTTTCCTATAACACTTAAAATATGTCAAGCCACTTGCCTTGGCTTCTTTAATTTCTGTTGCAAGGTCAGTTGTCATTCTTTTCGCTGCTCCTTAAGAAATTTTTCTTAAGACTGCTTTTAAGAAATTTTTTCTTTTCATTTGGAGCATTGTTCATCTGGCATGGTTTTCTTTTTATTTATCCCACTTTTGGTTAAAGTGGTTCATGAACCTGTGACTTGATTTGTTGGACAAATGTTGTATCTCCCTGTTCTCTCTCATTTCCTCCTAGATTCCTGTTATACACATGTAAGAACCTTTCATCCTTTCCTATATGTTTCTCATTTTTACTTTTGTATTTTCTCATTCTTCTTACTCTCCATGCTTGGATCTTTCTACTAACCTATCTTTCAGTTCACCAATCTTCTCTTCTCCTATAGCTTATATACTGTTAAACCCATCTTTTGAGTTCATAATTTCAACTGCATTTTTTATTTTTAGAATTTCCATTTCACTCTTTTACTAATATGTATTTCAGTTTTCTGATAAAAAAGAAATTTCTTTTTATCTAGTATTTGAACTGGTATTCAGTATTCAATTTCTAGTATTCAGTAACTGGGCTATGAGTCTATTGATATTGTCTACTTGTTTTTCTTAGTCTCATTTCTTAATGTCTGATGCTAAAAACGAGCAAATTGTAAGACTCTAGACTATGTTATCTCTCTTTAGAGAGGGCTCATTCAATTTTCTCCGGTGGATAGCTAAAACAAGGAACAGATCATCTTAGTATAATCAAGAGTGGCCTCAAAACTAGTATGCAGTTTTTATAAATACAGTCTATCAATAAATAGTTTACCCCCTTTTTCTAGAGTATAGCTCTTCAGAGGTCTCATTGAGATTATGAAAATCAGTTTAGCTCTTTGCAGTAAAGGTAAATATAGTTCCAGGAGTCTAGGGGATTGACTAGGGTCCCTCTTTGAAGATAAATCATATAATTTTTCTCTCTTATCACTGAGACTATAGAAAACTCTAATCTGCTTTTCTGATTAGCTTCTTAGCCTTCTGACCATGTAGCCTAAGAATTCATAAAATGCCTTGAGGGGAAACCTCTGGGTTTCAGGCTTACTTCTCTGTATGTCTAGGCCATGGTCCCTCAAGTCCTGGCAATCACAAACTCCAACTTTTGTCTCTATGGCCCTATGAGAGTCTTAAAAGCTCTTTTGACTGCTCTGACTTCTAGGAAGCCTCACGAGTGTTTAAAGACTTGTAAGATTTTAAAGAAAATCTTTTTTTTTTTAAAGAAAATCTTTAAAAGCAGTGTTTAATAAATTTTCGGTTATGAAATCAGTTCTGTAGCTTCCATGTAGTAAGGGTAAGTATAGTTCCAGAAAAATCAATTCAGTCTATGCTGGATCATGATATCAAACGTATTTTCTTAGTATGATTTGTGATCAAAAAGTTTGAAAGCCACTGCTCTATAAAACTATCACAGAGGTCTTGATTTCTTTCCACAAAACACAAAGACCAAGAACCCTGTTATTCTTACCTTTTTAGAGCACTTGGCCGTGGTTTTCAGGCAGCACTTCTTATGGCAAGCATACTTGCATACTGAAAAACAGGTTAAGAATGTAGCATTTGTAGAAGTCTACACATCAATGACAAGAACTTAGCAAGTTTACAACTTTATTTTGGACATAAACCTCTTTAAATCTAAGACTGCTATAATATCATATATATATACCTTAACAATATTATAACAAAAAAGGATCTCAACTCCTGTCTGGAAAAATGAAGTTAAAAAACATGCTTAAAATTTATAATTAATTTCTGTGAAAAGCTTTTTATTCTTTCTAGACTGCTTAGCTTTTTATTTCTTTCCCTCCTTCTCATCCTTGCCATATTCCTACAGAGTATCTGTCTATGTTTGTGGTTTGATTCACAAATTAGTTCTCATATATCTGCTCTACAATCTGCCAAGATGCCAAATATACCTATTAAGGATTATTCCAGTGGATAAAAAGACATTACTACCAAAGACCCTTACAGAAATAAAAACAAACTGGAGAGCACATTAAAATATAAGAAAGGTCCAGAATAGAGCTCTGAAGGACCAGAACATAAAGAATATCAATTATGATTGGGAAGATGAGGTAAAGAAAAGGTTCACAGTAGAAATAATTTCCTGGAACAGGAGATTTAACAGGGTGGCTAGGCAGTTGGTGGGTGGGAAGAGGCACAGTGAGAGGAAGATACTGAGAACACACCTGGCCTATGTCATTTTGCTATGCCAGCTCTGGCTCCTGCATATCAACACCTGAATATCTTTCTTTAGCTTCCAAAGTATTAACTTGTAGGGTTTTCAATGCCAAGATCAAGTAGGGGAGGACATATCATTGCACTGGTGAAATCACCGGTATAATCAAAAAGAAAGTTAGTTCTCTTAAGAAATCCAACCAAGCCAACCCAAGTCATAAAATAAGCAGAATCTTTACATTTTCAGTTTCAAATCAAAGAGAAAATTGTATCAAACCTATAGGAATCAAACTAACATTAAATTTAAACAGTCAATCTCATGGCAAGCTACTTCCTGTTTCACTCTTACAATAAATTTTTAGACTATTGATAATAAAACAAAAGGAAATCACTGTTGAACCACAGAACAAGTAAACATATCCATCAATAGTAGTGATTTCACTATGGCAAACACAACTTTCATCCTTATTATCATAATGAACCCAGCCCTTCCTAATATTTCATTCATTCAACTCTGGCCCATTAATAAACAAAGCCTTAAGGAACTGCTGAAAGCACCGGAGTAAATGTATGGTACAGCAGGAGTGGAAGCCAAAGGTCCTGTGTAAGCCAGAACAAAGCTGACCTACAAAAAGTCACTACTTGCACTTTAGCATTTATAGTCTGAAGAAATGATTATAGAAGGAAAAAAGTACCATTTTTCTTTGTAACCTAAGAAATTGTTCATTTATCCACCCATCTATAGGCCCATCAATCCAACACATATTTATTAAAATCTATATTGTGCCAAACTGTTCTAGGCATTGATGGTGATTCAGAAAAGACAGTGTTTCCAGATTTTACAGAAAATACGTTTTAGTGAGACAGACTGACAAACAGAAAAAAAACTGAATACTTAGTATAATTTTGGATGGTGATAAGTGCTATAAAGACTATTAAAGTTGAGTAAGGAAACAGAGAATTGAGGATCAGCATGGCATTTTAGATAGCATAGTAAGGAAAGAGCTAAGAGGTAACATTTCAGTGGAGACATGAATTAAATGAAATGGTAAATCTATTTAATTAACATCTGACAGAAAAGCATTTCAGATTAACTCTTGAACTGCAAGTATAGTGACTAAAGAACACCCAAAATATTGTGGTTTAACTACAGACAATTGGTGAAAGACAGCACAGTGAGAGATGAGGTTAAAGAACTAGAGAACGTGAATTACTCCTTAATGTTAAAGAAGATACAAGAAAACTCAGGGAATTACAAATGTCAAGTGATTTAAAAAAATTCCTCAAAGATTTCCCATACTTACATTTGCAAACAGAGGCTCGGTCCATTATCCATATCAAAGAAGAACAGTACTCACAGTATGTAGGGATGCTATACTGGGTGGCCTTAAAGATGTGACCATTGTGCTCTTCCACCTGAATGAAAAAATATAGTTATTTATGTTAAAGCAAACATAGTAAATGCTTCCCTAACATGGTCAGCCAATGAGAAGTCCTTCAAGGCCTTGCTAAGTCTTCACTGGGCACTTTTACCAGGAGAAGAATTATGATCTTCTGAAATATAAAATAAAAGCAAAATATGCAGCCTCTGCTTTCAAAAAGTTAATGCTCTAGTAGAGAGACACAAGCAACTTACATGCAAATCAGAAAGCAATGCTACAAACATGTAAGAGCTATCTTATATGACTCTCACCCAGCATCTTAAAAACAGCAGTTCTCAAATTTTAATTTTTAATGTTCAGAACCTTTTACACTTTTGAAAATTACTGCTGACATCAAAGAACTACTATTTATAAGAGTTATATCTATTGATATTCACTATATTGGAAATTAAAACTGAAAATATTTAAGCATTTATCCTTCACTTAAATTAACATTAAACATGTTATATGTTAACATATATATTATTATATAAAAGTATACCTTTAAAAGAAAAAAAGTAGCATAATAGGTATATTGTTTTAAATTTTTACAACTCTTTTAAATGTCTGGCTTAATAAAAGAAAACTGGATTCTTCTATCTAATTCTTAATCATCTGTTGGCAGCATGAATTTAGTTTGAAATATATGAAAAAAAATCTGGCTTCATAAGTATATGAAAATGTACAATGGAAGAATTGTCCTTTCAGATAATAATACAACACCAAAACTCTACAAATGGTCATTTCAAGTAAAACTGAAATATAGAAATCTAAAACTATACCAATGAACTTGTCATGCTCTATGACATTAAAAATCCACTGCTCTGGGCTTCATTAAAATTTAAAACTTCTACTTCAAAGTTCCACTAAGAAAATAAAAAGATTAGTGACAGACATAGAGAAAATATTTGCAACTCATATCTGATAAAGGACATATCTAGAATACATGTAGTAAAGAGCTTCTATCTAGAATACATGTAGAACTGTTACAATAATGAGATCATTCAATTTTAAAATGTGCAAAAAAAATGAGAGGATATAACCATTATAAATATTTATGCACCCAACATAAGAGCACCCAAATATGTACAACAACTAGTAACAGAATTAAAGGGGGAAATAGAATGCAATGAATTCGTTTTAGGAGACTTCAACACTCCACTCACTCCAAAGGACAGATCCACCAGACAGAAAATAAGTAAGGACACATAGCACTGAACAACACACTAGAACAGATGGACCTAACAGACATCTACAGAACTCTCCACCCAAAAGCAACAGGACACACATTCTACTCAAGTGCACATGGAACATTTTCACGAACAGATCAAAAATACTAGGCCACAAAAAGAGCCTCAGTAAATTTAAAAAGATTGAAATTGCACCAACCAGCTTCTCAAACCATAAAGGTATGAAAGTAGAAATAAACTGTACAAAGAAAACAGAAAGACTCACAAACACATGGAGCCTTAACAACTTCCTCCAAAATAATCAGTGAATTAATGATCAAATTAAAATAGAGATCAAACAATATATGGAGACAAATGAAAACAACAGCTCAACATCCGAACTTCTGTGGGACGCAGCGAAGGCAGTTCCAAGAGGAAAGTATACATCAATTCAGGCCTATTTAATCGAAGAGCAATCCCAAATGAATAGTCTAAACTCACAATTAATGAAAATAGAAAAAGAAGAACACAAGAGGCCTGAAGTCAGTAGAAGGAAGGCCATAATAAAGATAAGAGAAGAAATAAATAAAATTGAGAAGAATAAAACAGTAGAATTAATGAAACCAAGAGCTGGCTCTTTGAGAAAATAAACAAAATAGATAAACCCCTAGCCAGATTTATCAAGAAAAAATCAGTCTACACACATAAACAGAGTCAGATATGAGAAAGGAAAAATCACTACACACACTACAGAAATACAAAGAATTATTAGAGAATACTAAGCAAAATTATATGCTAACAAACTGGATAACCTAGAAGAAATGGATGACTTTCTAGGAAAATAAAACCTTCCAAGATTGACCTAGGAAGAAACAGAAAATCTGAACAGACCAATTACCATCAATGAAATTGAATAATAAGTAATCAAAACACTACCCAAGAACAAAATTCCCAGATCACATGGCTTCACTGCTGAATTTTATCAGACATTTAGAGAAGACCTAATACCCATCCTCCTTAAACTTTTCCAAAAAGTAGAAGAGGAGGGAATACTTCCAAACTTATTCTGTAAGGCCAGCATCACTCTAATACCCAAACCAGACAAAGACACCACAAAAAAAGAAAATTACAGAACAATATCCTTGGTGAATATAGATGCAAAAATACTCAACAAAATATTAGCAAATCTAATTCAAAAATACATCAAAAAGATTATCCATCATATTCTAGTGGGATTCATTCCAGGGATGCAAGGAGGGTACAACACTTGAAAATCCATCTTCATCATCCACTACATCAATAAACAGAAGAAACACGATCATCTCCATAGACACTGAAATAGCACTTGGCAAAATTCAACACCCATTCATGATAAAAACTCTCAACAAGATGGGTATAGAGGGCAAGTACCTCAACAATAATGAAGGCTATATTTGACAAACCCACAGCCAACATCATACTTAACAGTGAGAAGCTGAAAGATTTTCCTTTAAGATCAGGAACAAGACAAGGATGCCCACTCTCCCCACTTTTATTCAACACAGTACTGGAGGTCCTAGCCATGGCAATCAGACAACAAAGCAAAAAAAGGCATCCAGACTGGTAAGAAAAAAGTCAAACTGTCACTTTTTGCAGATGACATGATACTGTACATAAAAACCCTAAAGACTCCACTCCAAAACTACCAGAACTAATATCTGAATTCAGCAAAGTTGCAGGATACAAAATTAATACACAGAAATGTTATATTCCTATCCATTAACAATGAACTAGCAGAAAGAGAAATCAGGAAATCAATTCCATTCACAATTGCATCAAAAAGAATAAAATACTTAGAAATAAACCTAACCAAGGAAGCAAATGACCTTTACCCTGAAAAGTACAAGACACTCTTAAGAGAAATTAAAGAGGACACTAACAGATGGAAACGCATCCCATGCTCTTGGTTAGGAAGAATTAATATTGTCAAAATGGCCATCCTGCCTAAAGCAATCTACAGATTCAATGCAATCCCTATCAAAATATCAACAGCATTCTTCAACAAACTGGAACAAATAGTTTTAAAATTCATATGGAACCACAAAAGACCCCAAAAAGCCAAAGCAATCCTGAGAAGGAAGAATAAAGCAGGGGGGATCTCACTTTCCAACTTCAAGCTCTCATACAAAGCCACAGTAATCAAGACAATTGGTACTGGCACAATAAAAGACCCATAGACCAGTGGAACAAAATAGAGAGTCCAGATATTACTCCAAGCATATATGGTCAATTAATATATGATAAAGGAGCCATGGATATACAATGGGGAAATGACAGCCTCTTCAACAGCTGGTGTTGGCAAAACTGGACAGCTACATGTAAGAGAATGAAACTGGATTATTGCCTAACTCCATACACAAACATAAACTTGAAATGGATCTAAGACCTGAACGTAGATCATGAAACCATAAACTCTTAGAAGATAACATAGGCAAAACTCTCTTGAAAATAAACATTAGCAACTTTTTCATGACCATATCTCCCCAGGCAAGGGAAACAAAAGCAAAAATGAACAAGTGGGACTACACCAAACTAAAATGCTTCTTTACAGCAAAGGACACCATCAGTAGAAAAAAAGACATACTACAGTATGAGAGAATATATTCATAAATGATATATCCGATAAGGTGTTGATGTCCAAAATATATAAAGAGCACACACGCCTCAACAAACATAAAGCAAATAATCCAATTAAAAAATGGGCAGAGAATCTGTACAGACACTTCTCCAAAGAAGAAATTCAGATGGCCAACAGGCACATGAAAAGATGCTCCACGTTGCTAATCATCAGAGAAATGCAAAGTAAAACCACAATGAGATATCACCTCACACCAATTAGGTTGGCCACCATTCAAAAGGCAAACAACAAATGTTGGTGAGGATGTGGAGAAAGGGGAACCCTCCTACACTGCTGGTGGGAAGGTAAATTGGTTCAAACATTGTGGAAAGTAGTATGGAGGTTCCTCAAAAAACTCAAAATAGAAGTACCATTTGACCCAGGAATTCCACTTCTAGGAATTTGCCCTAAGAACACAGCAGCCCAGTTTGAAAAAGACATATGCACCCCTGTGTTTATCACAGCACTATTTACAATAGCCATGAAATGGAAGCAACCTAAGTGTCCATCAGTAGATGAATGGATAAAGATGTGGTACATATACACAATGGAATATTATGCAGCCAAAAGAAGAAAACAAATCCTACCATTTGCAACAACATGGATGGAGCTAGAGGGTATTATGCTCAGTGAAATAAGCCTGGCAGAGAAAAACAAGTACCAAATGATTTGACTCATCTGTGGAGCATAGAACAAAGCAAAAACTGAAGGAACAAAACAGCAGCAGAATCACAGAACCCAAGAATGGACTAAGTTATCAAAGGGAAAGGGACCGGGGAGGTTGGGTGGGAAGGGATTAAGGGGTATTATGATTAGTGCACATAATATGCAGGGGCACGGGAAAGGAAGTTTAGCACAGAAAAGACAAGTAGTGACTCTACAGAATCTTACTATGCTGATGGACAGTGACTGTAATGGGGTATGTGGTGGAGACTTGATAACAGGGGGATATGTAGAAACCACAATGGTGCTCATGTGAAACCTAAGCATAAGATTATTTATCAATGATACCTTAATAAAAAATAAATAAATATTGGGTAAAATATTGAATAGACAGTTCATTAAAGAAGTATACGTGGTCAACAGACATGAAAAGATGCTCAAAAGAATGTCACAATAGAAATGCAAATTAAAGCCATGATGAAATACTACTTCATACCCACTAGAATG